CATAATAGTTGTTTAAAAGCGCAATAAGAAGCTGAATCAATAATAAAAAGTTCTGTACTGTATCAGCCTCAGGAGATGATTGAGGGATAAAGAGACGTGAATGGGTCTGCAGTGTTCTTCTCCTGATCCATTCTGTCTGATATCAATCACGTCATACAGCAGCACACTGCTTCTCGATGTTTGACATTCTCTACCAAAATGTTTTATGTTAGTCTACAATAGAATGTTCAGTTCCAATGGTATCAATGACATCAGCAATGATGTCATCACTCTATGATATCACAAGGGAATCTCTCTCTTGAATGTAGCTCACAGAGAGTTTTCTCAGAACTGTTCCACAGTTCTATCGTGACAGATCACTCTTCAGAGCACGTTCGAAATTTATCGAAACGAGCGGCATATTGATTCCAGATATTACACGCCTCTCAGAGAAGCAAGAATTTACCAGAATATCGACATGAAGCAGAAACAGATCACTGGTGAACATGAAGCTTTTCCAGCTGAGCTTTTTTGGGTCGGCATGATGGACCTTAACATCCAAGTCGACTACGACGCTGTCGTTTTCCCTTTGGAAGATGACAGCAACAGCCCCATTGAGCCGGAAGATGAATCCGCAGATATCCAGGGGGAATCAAGTCCTTCCGGCGACTTGGAGAGTCCAACATCATCGGAAGTCGAGCAGAAAATGACTCCCTCTGCTGGCTTCGAGATTACTCCCTCAGTAGAAGTCGTGGAAGAGACAAGCCAATACGTCAAAGATCTCACAAAGCAGGTAGAAGATCTTAACCCTTGTATGTAGAAATGGGGTCCAACCGATCCTACACACGTAAAACTTGTATCATTTGCCTCAGTCCTCGCATGCACAAGGGTTTTAAAAGAATTGCAGAGTAAGATTTTTGATCTCCATGAGGAAAGAGACCGAAGGATTGCATATCAGGCTGAAGTCAAATTACAACAGGAGGAGATTCAAAAACTGCAAAAAATGTTGAAAAAAGAACGTCACCAGCAAGTCAAACATGACCATGGAAGAAATGTACCAGAAATTACAGGTGTATTAAAGGTTTCTTGCTCTTCCAAAGTTTTAGTCAACAAGAGCCAACAGCTGGATTACTTCAAGAGAGAGGCTGAAAAATATCCCTCCTGCAATAAAGATCTGATAGAAGTAAGGATTGAAGAATACAGAGTGAGACTCAAATATGAGGAGCAACTCAAAAGTCACAGTGAGCAAGCTTCCAAATTCAAAGCACAAGAGGAAACTGTGAAATCTCTGCAGGGTCAGGTTGCAGACCTGAAGGTGAAGTTGAAACTTGCTCTAGAAAATAACCATCCTAGAGTCTCCGCCCAACCAGAGACCCCCCTGCAAACAGAGGAGACCAAACAAAGACGGACCTTGAGTCAACGAGGGGTCTCCATGCATAGCCTGGCTCGGCCTTTGCGCCGACCCACTCCCATATTGCAAACAGAAGGCTCCCTACATGCAAAGGAGTCCAAGTAAAGACAGACCTTCAATCAACCAGGGAGATCTGAGGAAAGACAGACATCCATGTGACCAACCTCTACTGGTTGCATGGAGGGCCTTCATGTTGGCATTGGCATGAAGGCCAATCTAAGCCCGGCTCAGCCTTTACACCGGCTGTAAAGGCTGAGCCTGCCACGACAATTTAGCCACGACAGTTTAGCTGACCTTAATATTTCTTGTGTTTTATTTTGGTCGTTATTGTTACACTTACTGTTGATATGTGTGTGATAGGCGTGTCCATTGGACATTTATAGAAATACGGAACAAATCGCATCCCGTATCGGTTCAACACGGGACGCAACATTTATCAGCCAAATACGGGACGATTCTGTATTTTACAGGACGGGTGGCAACCCTACTTATGGACTCTGTGGTATGGCGTTGGCAAAGTCCTCTAAAAATAACACAAAAAAAAACACTGTAAATGACTGAGCCCATCTGGTGTGATCGAGCTAATTTTCTTGCTATTCCTATTCCTTGCTTTTATCTGTAGTGTTCCGTTACGGTGATCTCTACGATTACAATCTCCAGTTTCAATGTATTTTTATGGGATTCTAGGTTAATCGGAAGAAAAATAGCTTATATATTTTTACACAAACATATCTGAAAAGTGTCCAATGTATTTGTATTTTGCGCTTTCACTCTGGTACCACTCGAAGGCAGATAGGTAGGCAACTTAAAGAGTCTTCCACACATTGAAGTGTGACATCCTGAAGCTGGAATAGAACCCACAACTTTCAGGCAGCTACTCACTGAGCAATTGATGAAATCTAATGCAGTAAACGGCGTCCTATAGCTGAGCATTAAATCAATAACAATATGTATCGCGATAGACACGTGATTAATATCAATACAAAATACGTCTGAGAGAATGTTTAAGATCGGTGGCGTCAACTAACTTACTAACTCTTGGGTAACTTGCGCAGCAGCAGTTTCATGTTTTGCCACACCTCTTCACAACTGTTTAACATTTTAAAATAAAATATAAAAAAAAAACAATGGGATGGAGTGAAAGGAGAAAATGAGTGCAACGACTCAGAGGAAACTATGGATAAAACAGGAAAGGTCACGCCACCAGTTTGGCAGTATTTCAGATATTTAAAAGAAAAAGCTAATCAGTAATGATCGATATCGACTCTTATAATCGTGATACGTTTTTCAGCCATATCCTCCAGCCATACTGCCTGTAGAAATCTTCTATCTGCTAAAGAGTCCAGCTATGTGCGCCTTAATGTCAGCAAAATCCTGCATAAGCAGTAAAGTTTCAGAGTAGTTCGAAGTGAGGTTATAAAAACACTATTTCAGGCTTTCATAATCTCACAGAATG